AGCGCGCTGGTGTGAGATTCTGCATTATTTGCTTGCACAGCAGATTTCGTTGTTACAGTAGATGGTATTGCGCGAGCAGTCGATACTATTGTAGATGTGTGGGTATGGGGTTTTATCCAACAAGAGCGCTGGAGAGCAAGAGCGCGCCATCCCTTGCGATGTTGGATTGAGTTCATTACTCGGGTTTGGGGTTATTGATCGCGGTTGTTTAGTTTTTGTTGGGTTTGCGGTCGCGTTGTCTTGCATTGACACGATTGAATGGTATGCGTTGTTACGTTGCAGAGAGAGCCGACGCTCGTCTTGCTGACGTTGGAGCACCGTATGAGTGTCGAATTCACTCATAGCTTAATGTTTTAGATTTTCTTCTTGTTTATTTACACAAAAAGTACGAAGTTCATCGCACTAAGCGTCTTTTCGCCCACTGTGTGTTGTTGTTTAGAGCTTGCACTGCACTATGCTTTCGATTTATTTAAATTTTCGTTGACGATAAGAAGACGCGAAAAACACGTCTGCACTTGCCGACTTTCGCGAGCGAAACGAGGACAATTTTAAGAAATTATTGCTTAGAACGAAGAGAGAATACTTTGACGATATGCTCCGCAATGCTGATCCCACAAAGCCGTGTGAATTAAACTTCTGGAGAGCAACAAGGAATATAAAACGACAGGCCCCTCGCCGAATTCCAATAAAGCGTGCCGACAACACATGGTGCAGATCAGACTGCGAAATCTTGACGGACTTTGCTGAGAAAGAAGAAGCTTTTGATCGTGTTTGGCACGATGCCTTGCTGTTTAAGTTGAAAACTCTCCTGCCAACTGCACAATATCTTCTCCGAAAATCGTACGAAATTTTATGGTAGATGTGAGAGGCGAAAGGTCGTATATCACATGCATTCGAGCTGGCGTACCTCAGGGTAGCGTACTTGGTCGGTTTTATACCCTATATTTACCGCTGACCTGCCATACCCTAGAGCACCATGTACCCTCTTGGCTACATATGCTGATGATACAGCCTTTATTGCCAACTCGACGTGTCGAATTGAAGCGACTGAAATCACCCAAAACTTTTTGGACCTGTAATGCGAATGGACGAATCGATGGAACGTTTATCGAAATAAACGGAAATAAGTCCCAGCACTGCAACTTCTCTCTTAGAAGTAAAATTCTCCCCAGAGTAAAATTCCAGGACACAGTTATACCGCAATCTTCTCAGGCTCAGTAATTGGGCTTGATTTTGGATAAACGACTTACGTGGAAGCAGCACATAACGAAGGTAACAGCAGCATGTCGTACTAAGCTTCGGAAACTAAATTGGATGCTTAAAGGAACAAGTAAACTCAGCCTCAGCAACAAGACGTTGCTGTATAAGTCGATTGTAGGTCCTTCAATGACATATTGCATTCAAATATGGGATACTGCTCCAGACTCAAATGTCATGAGGGTCCAAAGAGTGCAAAACCGGGCGCTACGTACAATTACGAATGCACCGTGGTATGTTAGAAACGAGGTCCTAGCTAGCGATCTTCACATTCCCACGGTGAGAGATCAGATCAACATGCATTCTAGCCGATACAATGACCTTCTACTAGCCCACACCAACCAACTAGCAGCATCCTTGGCAAAACAAACTACCAGAAGAAGACTTAAGCGTCGGCACCCTGGTGATCTTTGGACACGAGGACGTCATCAAACCCGCGTCTTGAGACAATAGTGTAGTCTGTCTCTGTTATAAAATTTTTACATTTTCTCATGTTATGATATGTTTCATGTTATTTTTTATACCCTTGCAGAGGGTATTATAATTTTGGTCAAAAGTGTGCAACGCAGTGAAGTAGACATCTCCGACCCTATAAAGTATTTATATTCTTGATCAAGATCACCTCCTGAGTTGATATAAGCACGTCCGTCTGTCTCTCAGTTTTAAAGATATCGAATTGAAACTTTGCACACACCTTTCTTTCCTTTGCACTCAGTATATAAGTCAAAACGGCCGGGATCGGCCGACTATATCCTATAGCTGCCATATAACTGATTTATCGGAAATGCCATAACTTTGGTGTGTGTAAAGTTAAAGTTAAGAAACGATAAACTGGCCACACTAATATATCAATAGTCGACTACCATCGCTATATTCGTGACCCGATAACGAGTTATCGATATCGGGATTCTCGACATCGACCGCTCTGGGCACACTCAACGGGGCCTATATAAGCAGAGGCAAGACCCCAGAGGAGAGACTTGCGTTCCGACTAGGGATGTCAAATATTTTGAAAATATCGTATCGCTGATATATTTTCCTTAAGAAAAATATTTATATGATATTTAATATATCGCCAAAAAATATCGATATATCAGATATTTTTGATATTTTTTTTTCAGTTGAATTTAAGCTAACAACAAGGAAACAAGACTTTTGCCCTTAAATTAAAGTAAAAGCACTAGAAAAATATAAAAAATAAAATACGTTTTGCTACATTTGTTATTTTATTAATTTCATAAGTCTTTGCTTATGGATTTTAAAAATACTCTTTCCGTTATGTGGCGGTCGGTCAAGCGGCTGCATGTGTCGCAGACAACGCACTTAATAGCCGACGCTAACCGCTCTGACGACAATGAGCTACCCGGGGTAATTAGGTAGCTTAGTGCAACACTCGAAAGATTTGGTAAATTGTCTTTCTGGGAGTACCAGAATTCCACCGGATTAGAGAGCTGCACGGCTGCACTCAAATTTTTGTACTCTCTCAGTACTCTTGAGTTGTGTACTCTAATTTGAGCACAACGCATTCAGCTGATCGAGTTCGCATCGCACTGTATTATCATTTGAGCGCAATTTTGAGTATTCATATGAAATGGCATTGAATGAATGTGTGTGCAAAACGGAATGAATGAATGAATGAAGCATAGAATTGACTGAATACTCAGTATACAATTTGTGTGCCGCTGATGATGCATTTATTGATTTCATCGAAGTCCAAAAAGCTACAACCTTAATAAATCAAATAGACAAGGAAATAAACGGTTATTGTAACACAAGTGTAATTTTTTCAGATAGTTTTGATTGCCTTAGTTGGTGGACCGACCATAAAAAAATGTTTCCCCTTTTATTTAAGACTATACATATATAAATAAAATTATGTTTCTACATTTTAATATAAATAATATTTAATAAGGAAAAATTAATAATTCGTTTTTAAGCGAAATATACATACATGAAATGAAAATAAACATTGTTTTATTGTCTCGTATTTAATTTCGCAATAGTAAATACAGGTTACGTAAAAGGAAACAATGCATCATTCATCGCGCTCACTATTTTTACCCGGTTCTTTCGGCATTCAATTCGCTCTCTCTATGTGTGAGTTCGATGAGTTGAGTACAGCGGCGGCGCACACATTCATTCACATTCATTGCAATTCGCAGCCGAATTCATTCAACTCATTGGCAGATGAATGTCTCAAAAGCCGTTTTGAATGCGGCCGTGCAGCCCTTTATGCAAGTATCAAACAATATCGAAAAATAAACTATCGATATTTTGATATTTGGCTAAAAAATATCACGATATAAATATATTTTTTTTTCAAAAAATATCGATATATTGATATTTTTATATATTTTTGACATCCCTAGTTCCGACGATCATCGAGGAAACATCAGCAACAAGGAGAAATATCCAGAACACTTGGTAGATAGTCTTGGTTTTTAACTTTGCTTGCTGGACGACAGACTAGGACTGGATGGTACCTAGTTGCCCCATGCTACTTTTATTGACCTCTGATTACAAATACTTGAATATATAGGTACAATTAATGAGAGAGAGAGAAATTTACATGGCTTTGAGACAGATTAGTACTTAAAGCTAGGTTTAGTATAACAGTTTTTTTTTTAAATTGTAACAAAGTCTACCACAATTCTGGTACGTGTCTTAGATAATTTAGCTAGGAGCTCGACAGTTGGTAACATTAATTTTAGTACATTTTGTGTGTCGGCTTTAAAATACTAGATTGTACTGACTATACTGCAACAGCTGTTTTCTTAAGTGGCAACGCCGCGTTTGTTTGTTTACATTTTCAAATTTGCTGGCAGCAGTAAATTAATTACAAGATTCAATAAAAGATTAATAGTTTTGAATTTCATTTCAGGTATTGTTAGTTTAAGATGAGGGCCAGTGCCACACCAGGTGGATCGGTGGATTTACAGCTGGTAAGTGCCATGGAGTAGAAGTTGCAGTTACGCAGCTTTCTGGGAATTTCCATTTTATAGCTGATGTATTTTTAGTAGTTGTCATCCTTGCAGCGGCGCTCCGGATGGAGACCGGAACCGCAAGAGGCCCGTCTATCGTCATGGAAGTTCTTGGCAGCTACAGAAAGCCAGTGTGGCATAAGGTGGATCTGTGGATTATTAGCAGGTAAGTACAAATAATACAATGATTAGCGGCCCAGTAAGCATAGGCCCATCTTATCTGCAGAAGCCAAGCACAACAGTTTGCTTGTAGATAAAATTAATAAGGATTAACAGATTAATTCATCTTTTATTTCCAGGTATAGGTGGTCACCAGATGAGGCCGGCGTGTCATCAGGTCGATCAGTGCATTAAGAGCAGGTAAGTGCCTTTTGTTATGTTTTGTAGCTTTTGGCTGAATTAGATTTCATTTCAGGTGTTGATTTAATTGGCACACGCCGTCCTTTGGTACGCTCTAGGAAGCAACACAGTCCTGTGAGGAGACCCACCAGGTGGATCAGTGGATTAAAAGCAGGTAAGTGCCTTTTATTATGGTTTGTAGCTTTTGGCTGAAATTAGTTTCCATTTCAGGTGTTGATTTAATTGGTACACGCCGTCCCCTTGGCACGCTCTGGGGCAGTAACTCAGTCCTGTGAGGAGGCATTCCGTCATCCGCAGTCATCAAATGCAACAGCCGCCCATCAGTTAAGTGGATACTGCGTGCATTAGTTTGTAAATAATTTAATAATTAATAATTATTATTTCCAGTTGTTGTTTGCAGCAAGATGAGGACAAGAGTAACATCAGGTGGATTCGGTGGATTAAAAACAGGTAAGTGTTATTTATCAGTGTTTTTTGGCTAATATTTATTTCCATTTCAGGTTTTGAATTAAGTGGTACATGCCGTCCTTTTGGCACGCTCTTACATTTGCAGTAATAAAGTGCATCAGCCGCACCTCAGTTAAGTGGATACTGCATGCATTAGTTTGTAAATAATTTAATAAATAATAATTATTATTTCCAGTTGTTGTTTGCAGCAAGATGAGGGCAAGAGTAACATCAGGTGGATTCGGTGGATTAAAAGCAGGTAGGTGTTATTTATCAGTGTTTTTTTTTTTTTTAATTCTGGCTAATATTTATTTCCATTTCAGGTTTTGAATTAATTGGTACATGCCGTCCTTTTGGCACGTTCTTTCATTTGCAGTAATAAAGTGCATCAGCCGCCCCTCAGTTGAGTAGATACTACGTGCATTAGTTTGTGAATAATTTAATAAATAATAATTATTATTTCCAGTTGTTGTTTGCAGCAAGATGAGGGCAGGAGTAACATCAGGTGGATTCGGTGGATTAAAAGCAGGTAAGTGTTATTTATCAGTGTTTTTTTTTTTTTAAATTCTGGCTAATATTTATTTCCATTTCAGGTTTTGAATTAATTGGTACATGCCGTCCTTTTGGCACGTTCTTTCATTTGCAGTAATAAAGTGCATCAGCCGCCCCTCAGTTAAGTGGATACTGCATGCATTAGTTTGTAAATAATTTAATAAATAATAATTATTATTTCCAGTTGTTGTTTGCAGCAAGATGAGGGCAAGAGTAAGATCAGGTGGATTCGGTGGATTGAAAGCAGGTAAGCGTTATTTATCAGTGTTTTTAAATTCTGGCTAATATTTATTTTCATTTCAGGTTTTGAATTAATTGGTACATGCCGTCCTTTTGGCACGCTGAGTCAAAAGCAGGTCCGTGCTACTTATCAGTGTTTTTAATCCCTAGTTGATATCAATCCATTTCAGGTGTTTATTCAATTGGTACTCGCCGTCCTCCTGGCACGCTCTGGGTAGCAATTTAGTCCTGTGAGAAGGCCTTCCCTCATCCGCAGCAATCAGGTGCAACAGCCGTCCCTCAGTTAAGTAGTTACTGCATGCGCTGGTCTATAGATAATTTAACAAGTACTAGCAGTTTGATTACTCTTTTCATTCTTTTTTTTTTCTCCCTCTTTTTAGGTATTGTTCATAGCAAGATGAAGGCCAGTGCAACATCAAGCGGACTCGGTAGATTAAAAACAGGTAAGTGTTATTTATTAACTTTTTTAACTTTTGTCTGATATTTATTTTCATTTTAGATGTTTATTTAATTGGTTTACGCCGTCCTTCTGGCACGCTCTGGGTAGTAACTCAGTCCTGTAAGAAGGCCTTCCTTCCTCCGCAGCAGTCAGGTGCAACAGCCGTCCCTTAGTTAAGTGTATAGATAATTCTAACAAGCATTAGCGGTTTGATCACTCTTTTTAATTTTTTTTTTTTCCCTTCTAAGGTATTTTCCATGGCAGGATGAAGACCAGTGTACTAGCAGGTGGACTCTGTCCAGTCCAGGCGCACATATGCGCGCCACCTCTCAGAATAAGCTCGGCTGGTTTGAAAACAGAGATCGCAAACCGGTCCCGCCTTTCACCCGTCAAGCAGCGTCTCTCAAAAATCCAGTGTAAGTATCGAGCAAAAGCAGATATAATTGAAAGTAAATTCATTCATAATTTGCAGAAATAAATATCTAAAAAAAAAGGGGAAAGGGGGGGGGGAGAGATTTTTTTTTTGCCCCCCACAAGGTTTTTTTGGCCCCCCCCCCACCCCCCCCAAAAACCGTCGCCTGCCGCACGACAGACCGCAAACATGACTGGTATGCACTCTCTGTAAGGATGCCAAGCCTACAGGGGACACCGCAGCATCATCGCACTCCAGTAGAAAATACTATTAATCCGTTTCAAAATATATTGTTTGGTTGCTCAGATGTAATTTAAAGTCCGGGATGATTATTCTTATAATCCCAATGGGCTGCCCCTCCATTATTTCTATTAAATATTCTCTTGAAACTCTACCCTCTCTAAAACCCGCTCTTAAAGTCTTAAAACTAATCCTACCTCGGCTAAACTAAAATTAAATACGTCTTACGAGCTAACTAATCCAACAGAGAAGCGGAGTTTAACGATTATACTACTTGACCACGAACTCTGTCATCGCGCTGCCTCTGCCTGCGGCTTGTTCTTGTTCTTATACACTTGACCACGAATTCTGCCTGTCATCCTTGGAATAAGTTAAGTATGGATGATGCTAATAAAACTCTGACAAAGGAGAACTCTATCCCTCCAAACGCAAACTGTGAGTCCGTCATCTCTCTGAATACTTCTTCTGACAGTGGCTCCTTGCGCGCGAAAGGCAAGGGCGCCGACGCCAAGTTTCCCGCCATCTCACCCACACACACACACATGCATAATAATTTACAGCCTCCACCCGCCCATTTAAATGCCCCAATAAAAATTAGCCAATCAAGCCAGCAGTCAAATAAAAATGGTTCAGAAGCCAGCTTAGCTAGAAGGAGTATATTGTCCTCAATCCTTAACCTGTCACAGTCGCCAACTGACCCACTGGGAGACACCAATTCCCAGGCCATCGACAAAACTGAGCGGGTTAAAAAATGGGTCAACAATTCTTCTCAGGCTATTGCTTTCCCCTTCAGCCCCCTCCGTACCCCTGGTAAAAGGCCCTGCAGTGAATTAGAGATAGTAAGCGACGAGCTGCTGCGCTCACCCAGAGGCCTGCCAAATCAGGTCTCCCTTCCTATTGAGCAGACTCCAGGGAAAAGAAGGCGTATTTTGGACGACGAGCTCTGCATGGAAGATGACCCACTCTTTTGTCCATGGCTTCCACCCAAAATTAAGGATTCATCCCGAATCAGCCAGCCATGCAGCAACCCCCCGGATGCTGAACAAAATCAGGCAGCTTCCCGGCCTCCCAACCCCACCATGCCCACCAACCAGCCCTCTCAACCCGAAGAACCTGAAGAACCAGTAGCTTTGAGTAGCAATTTGAATGGACCGATTGAGGCTCTCCCGGAATGGCAGGTGGTACCTGTAAGCAAGCGGATTCCCTCTATTCATTTGCCAAATGTGGACGACATTCAGCCTCTTCTTGCAAGCCTTAAGGATATACCTGCGGACAAGTTCTCTACAAGGAGCACACCAGGAAACGGAGTTAGGATCCAGTGCATTGACATGGAAACGTATTCCACTGTCAAAAGGCTGCTTGGGGAGGGAAATTTTGCCATGTTTACGCACCAGAAAAAATCTGAGAGAGGATTTAAAACCGTCATCCGTCATCTCCATCACTCGACGCCGTACCAATGGGTGATAAATGAACTACAAAAAGTTGGCTTTACTGCCCGCTTCGTTAGAGTTATGCGCCACCGATTTAACGATAATCCAATGAACATTTTCGAATGCGAGTTGCAAACCAGTCCTGATGGAAGCCATATGAATGTTCTAAAAATCCAAAAGTTAGGTAGTCAAGCGGTAATAGTTGAGCGTAAGCATAGAGTACGCGACCCTACCATGTGCCACCGATGCCAAGGTTTTAGGCACACCAAAATGTATTGTAAAATCCCCTACAAGTGCATGAAGTGTGCCGAAGGGCATCCCACTGCCACCTGCACTAAGCCTAACAACGTGCCGCCAACTTGCGCCAACTGTGGGGGAAGTCACGTTAGTAGTTATAAAGGATGCCCCGCTTTTAAAGCTGAGCGCAGCAAACTGAGGAGCCACAGGGCGGCGAATGGTGATTGGCCACTCGGAAATACACTCTCCTCCCCCAACATCCCCCCCTCTGCCCCCTCTAGGATCAGAAGTGTCTGGTCTCCCCAATCTGAGCGTAACGTCGAGAGAACATGCAACCAAGTTTTCGCAGGTTGGAACCCCGCAGAGGCTCACTTAAAAGGCCTCCAAAAAAGGCTACTCCAGGAAAGACAGGCTGAAACTCATCCCAAGCCCCAGAGTGGAGGGCATCAGGATGCCAAACCTTCTATATCCGGAAATCCCTTTAAAACTAAGCTGCCTGCCAGAATGGGCAAAAAACAGGTAGGCAGGTCTAGCAAATCCGGGCTCAGGATACGGTTGGCGGCACCAAGGAACCCATTTAAAAAGCAGCAGAGAATCAGGGCTGACGTAGCCAAGTCGGACAAGTCACAGGCCGGCACATTGGAGACTTTCAACAAAGACGCCAGGGGAACTGCTGGCACATCGCGGGCTGTCGGACCGACGGAAGGACACCTGAGGAACTTACAGCAGCGGCTTCGGGAGAAGCAGAGTGAACTACCAAGGAATAATCCTACTATATCAGGCCAGCCACAGGCCAGCAAATTTGGGAACATTGGTGCCAACCTCCCAGACTCGGCCGCCAACCAGTTCATCCTACACGCAAACAGGATGGAAAAGAAGATGGACTGTCTTTTGGACCTTCTAACCCGCTTTGTCCAGCTCCACCCTGCACCCTCAGCCTTGCAGGTTAACTAAATGCCATCTAGCAGCCCTCGCACTAGCCAATAAACACGTTTAATGACCAATAAACACCTTCGAATTGCATTCTGGAACGCATGTGGCCTAAGGAACAAGCTAGCAGAGCTTGAAGTCTATATGAGCAACAACTCCATCCACATTATGATGGTGGCAGAGGTAAGAGCCAACCCTACTAAGCAAAACCTCTGCATTCCTGGATACCACGCCTATTTTGCCCCGAACCCGAGTTCATACATAAAAGGAGGAGTTGTCACTTATGTTAGGGAAAACTTAAGACATTCGGCTATAGAACCCATTAGCATTGCCTGCTTACAATGTGCCCCCATAGTGCTGCTCCCGGAAAATAACAGTAGAAAGGAAATGCTGTTAATTACTCCGGTCTACTGCCCGCCTTCGATCGAATGGCAGCCTAACCATTTTCAAAGATTGTTCACCCACCTAGGTAACCAAATCAGCCATGAGACGAAAATAGTTATGGCCGGCGACTGGAACGCAAAACATATGTGGTGGGGCAACATTCGGTCTTGCAAAAGGGGGCAAGCGCTGATGAAAGCCATACACTCGCAGAACAAGTTCAACATTTTGGCCACAGGAAGCTCCACACACTTCCCATTTGACGTTAGGAAGAGACCGTCGGCGTTGGACTTTGCTATCTATGCTGGTTTTAGCTACAACTCTTTGCAAATCGAATCCACCCCTGAGCTAAGTTCTGACCATCTGCCTATACAGATGGAGATAGCTCTCGACCACCAGTTCCTTTTTCGCCAAAATAGTTCCAGAATAATTACGCGCACAACAAACCTGAACAGATTTAAGGAGATCCTGGATGAGAAAATTCTACTTAATACAGAAATCAACTCTGGATTGGATATTGAGGACGCAGTGAATATCCTGCTAAGGAATATCAAGGAAGCGGCCGCAGCAGCCAATCCGAGGGCCAACTCCGCGCAGAATCCTCTTGGCCAAAACAGAAGCAGGAATCGAGCCTATGATTATGCCCTAGACGAGCCAACGAGAGCCTTGCTCGAGGATAAGAGGCGCCTTAAAAAGGCGTTCAGGGACCTTGGAACGGCAGAGATGGCAAAACAATACAAAGCAGCGGAAAACCGTCTGAGAAAGGCGCTCAAAAAGCTAAAATCAGCAAACATTAACAGGCGTCTTGAGGAGATTGACATTCACGATAGGTACAAATTAAAAAAACTGTGGAAAATAACAAACCTACACAAAAAACAACCCCAGACAAATCATCCGGTCAAAATTTATGCAGGCAACGGTGGCAATAGGCAAAGCGCGCAGCACTCAGGTTGGTCCAAAACTATCTCAGAAAAGGCAGAATTGTTTGTTCAACATCTTGAGGATAGGTTTAGCCCAAAACTCCATAACACCCCCGAGCAAAGGATGTCAATCCAGGACGATTTGAGAGCCCACCTACACGACCGTCCCGAACGAGCGCTCAGGCCTGTCACTCTTGTCGAGCTTAAACTCGAAATACAATCCCTTGACCTCAATAAGGCCCCTGGCTACGACAAGATTGACAATAAGCTAATTAGGATCCTCCCAAATAAAGCCCTTCTATATCTGGTCCTCATTTATAACTCCATCCTGAGGCTGGGACACTACCCGTCGCAATGGAAACATGCTGCCATCTCCCTCATCCTTAAACCTGGCAAGGATAGTTCGGAACTTTCCTCGTATAGACCCATCAGCCTGTTGTCTGGGTTGTCTAAAATGTTTGAGAAAATGCTCTTAAGGAGACTGTTCGAATTTCCCCTGTTTGCAAAGGCAATACCGTCACACCAGTTCGGATTTAGGAAACAACATGGTACTGAACAGCAGCTGGCCCGTGTAACGAATTTTATCCTGGAAGCTTACGAGAACCAGCAGTACTGCTCAGCCGTCTTCATAGACATTACAGAGGCGTTCGACAAAGTTTGGCACGCGGGACTCTTCTGTAAACTATCCAAAATCCTGCCGAACAAAATGTACAGAGTCCTAGAAAGCTATCTGAGCAACAGAACATTTGAGGTCAACTCTACAGACGGCTCCAAATCACGCCAGGGTAGAATAAACGCTGGAGTCCCTCAAGGGAGCAATCTTGGGCCTGTATTGTACTCTATATACTCCTCTGACATGCCCACGC